AACTGAAATGGTATGATTTTTACTTCCTCAAATCAAAGCAAACTTAAATGGGTCTGAGTCTGTTATTATATACAGACACCTATAACTGTAGAAAAAAAAAGGATATCATAGAACCAATACTACATCCTCCACCATGTTTTTAAAAAAAAATAATAATAATGTATCAGACCCAAAAAGTGACCCAAGATCTAAATTTTCATAATGACCAAAGAAAATATTATACAACTAAATCCAACACATTTCTCTGGATTTGCCCAATATAAAAGTGGTTGTAAGGCTCTGCTAAAAATCTACAATTTCCGTATGTATTTGAACAGAGAGATGACTCACACGGATCTGCTTTTCTTTCTCAATGTTTGGAAGAAACAAGGACTGACATGTTTTTTTGTCTCCTTTTATTCACCTTTCTCTGTGTTTGTTTTATATATCCTGTGTGCAAGTATATATTCAGTTTCATTAAAAAAAGAATAAACAATTGACATAGATCAATATGAGCAAAAAAGTCCCGGCCCAGATTGGTGCCTCCCTCGCTGTCATGGCAACCGCAGAAACATTAAACAAATGAACCTGTGACACTTTTAACTTCCATCTTGAGTAATATTATTTTACATAAACATACTGTATACTTTAACTTGTTTACTTTCTAAGCACTTCTTACTTTCACTGTTACTATACTTACCCACATTCTTGAAATCATGTGACCAAAACAGAGCCTGGCCAATGACAACCATTGACCGTAGGGACATGAGAGCTGCCCAATTAGTGCAGTAAACAATTGTCCAGACACACAAAACATATTTTTGTGTATCATGTATTATTTATGCTCTTTTATCATAATTACCCAATGGATTAATTAATATAAATGTATTGTGTTGTAGTAGTAGTAGTGTAAAGTAGTCCATGGTAGGTTTAGGATTAAGAGTTTAGTATAGCTGTCTTGTTAAATTACCGGTTGATTTATATATCTTATACAACTATGTGTCTCAATGACCTATGGCTTCTTTCAAGTCTGACCCTATGTACCAGTCCCACTGGGAACAGCCTGTCCTATTGAATATCACCACACGCTGCAAAAATATCTATATGAATCCAAGCTTCAACCCTTGCTACTAACCAGCTATTAAAACTTTCTTTCAAATTAGCGATGTGTTCTTGTAAAAAATATTCCCTGACTTGATTTTCCGAAAGTTGGGAAGAAACTCAAGCCGTAGGGACGAGGTTGAGGCATGTTGAGAAGACTGAGTTACTGCCACTGTCAGTCGGATGGGAAAAGAGCAAGCAACTGTGCACTGGCATCTGTTCCACGCACACACACAGGACACGCGCGCGGCCTACACGTGCACGCTCACATGCACGACGTCTTATTTATGAGATTTATGATGCGCGCTTAAGTGAATATGGTCGCGCAGAGGAAGCAAAAATAATAGTCTGGGATACCGGGGGATTTGGAAAGCAGCCGCGCACTTTGAAGATTGTGCTCGTTTGTTGATAGAAGACAGATAGTGATTGTATAATGTTTCCCCCTGCTGCTCAGAGGTGAGAAGTGCGGCGTGCGGTGGGGTGGGCTGGTATGTGACCTTGGCTGGGACAGGCAGTCGTCAGAAAGAATCCACGTGAGCAGCGGATATTGTGCCGATCCGAAACATGCACGTATTTACCGTACAAGACTATTTTGTTTTAATTGAATGTGTTTTGTGTCTGCAAAGTTATTCATTGGCCAGTCACGCACCATTTGGCAGCGGAAAAGAGACATTAGCGGTTTACAGAGCGAGAATTTGTCCAAATAGGAACAGGAAACAAGGTCACTAAACATGACTTTAGCAGTGAGTCAATGAGCCAATTAGTTTAGACCAGGTTGTTGAATGTGGAATTGTCTATATTTCAATGTCAGACTTAATGGGTATTGAGCTAGGGTCAGTGGAATATTTCACTTACGTACTTATTGGGCTGGGTATCTTTCTAGATTTGGTCAATATTATACTGTACATACCCCAATACAGGCTACCTTCAAACCGATCTGATGGAATATATTTCCAAGAAACTTAATACAATTTGAGTCAAAAATTCTCAGCCCCATTTGAATAGACATGCAGTGTTGATATTTGAAGATTGATTGGTAAAAAGAATATTCACAGTCTGTATGTGTGCGTCCTTCACTGTTAGAAAATGTCAATATTATAAAAAATGAAAAAGCTGGCGCCTATTTGTAGTTGTTTTAGACTTCGATAGACTCTCAGTTCTGTCCACTTAGAGCAGTTGATGTAGTAATGTTAATTAGTTTATGGATTAATAAAAGAGAAAAACAAAAAACTCTCCTGCAACAATTGCGAATAGAGTGACTGGTAGTTAGTTTAAAAGGCAACCAATAACAATCCAATTAAATTCAATGAAATTTATTCTTATATAGCCCTAAATCACAACCGTGTTATCTCGGAGGACTTCACAAAGCCGTTGCCAATTCGCCAACACAGATCAGAGAATCAAACTGTTCAAACACATAGAGCCATTGGTCCATAAGGGGCAGATGACCAATCCCCATAAATGTCCATAAATTACAGCCCAAATTTAAAAAGGAGGTTTTTAAACATGCACAACAAAATGCAATTACAAGATTACCGTATACAGTATATTCAGTGTTTGTAAGGCGGTACTTTTCACCCATGCTTGGACAGAAATGGCTTCCAAGTTTTCACACTTGGGGCAGCTCTCGGAATGGCGAAGGGACCCTAGAGACTATCATATATAGCCCACTTAATGATTCTTGTAAGTGCTGTTCTTCGAAAGCCATCACAACACTTGATATTTACACTACATTGATTACAATTTGAGAAGTCCAGTTGCGTCTCATTTGACTTTTCCTGACCCTCCATCCATGGTCCCATCCGTCCCTGAGCTGGGTTTTAGATCTAGCCTCATATGGCTCTGTCACCTCAGCTGTGCACACAAACTGTAGGCCATTGGTGCTAATTCAATTTATGTGTTGTGATATAACCCGGCTAATGCACTATTTCTGTAAAGCGACGCTCAAAATAAGTGCAAGTAATTCAACAGTTAGCAGTGCACCCTTTGCACTGCGGGCATTTATAGAAGTGTTCAAATGTAGCTGTGACATATATGCTTATAATATTAGCTTAAAATAATAGTGATTAAAGGTGCTTCTTAAAACACATGCAAGGTTGGGAAAAAGTGTAAATGGCATTTGAGATATAAAAGATTAATTCTGGGATTATAATACTTATTTAAGTATTGATACCGCAGAGAATCAAAAGTACCTTGCAAATACTGCTATAAATCAGTGCTATACGGATCTAATAGGTCTTACTTTAGAATGGGCAACGGTTAAATTATGAATGTAAAGCTGGAGATCCCAACTTTCAAAAAACATTTTATAATAAACGTCTTTGTAGTCCCTGACTCTTAAACAATTGTTTTTTTTGTTTTTTTTTTGCCTGTTTCACATATTTAGATCAGCATTTTCAGACCGAAAAGGGAAAAAGAAAGAGCCAATCTGCTTTCAGCCCAAAGAGTCAAATAGTCCCTCAGTTTGCGGCACAATTAGCAAAAGATAAGATTATGACAGAATGATTTGGTCTGAAAACATTTTACTATAACAACACTATTCCCCTTTTGGCAAACACCTGATAAAGTATTTATTTTAAAAGGAGATGGGAACCCCAGCTTTAATACTTATTTTGGAAAATTAGCATGCCCTTACTATCACACTAAAGACAGTGTCCAATGTAACTCTTATGTCCTCATCAAATAAACACATTAATTCATTCCATGCACTGTGGTGGTAACATAATAGTATAAAACCAAGCCTTCAGCCTCAGGATTACAGTAGTAGCATTACATTGTATACTGCTTTTACTAGTCTCCAGTCTATGACCTGAAAAGAAAAAAATGGTTGAATCATGTAAAATGTTTTATTGTTATTCCTTTAACCCTCTATGTGTTTGTTCATTTTTTTGCATCAATATTACATCCTTCAACTGCAAATACTGAGGCTTAGACTGGCATAGACTGACAACATTTGATCCAGAAACAAAAAAATGGCGACAGGAAAACCTTAGAATCCTCTGGCAATGCGCTCGCAGCCCGATGATCAATGCCTATCAATGCCTGCCTTCCAGTCAGAGGAATGCACTGAAATGCGCACTGGTCATATGGCATTACTGTACGTCAACAGAAATAACAACAGGTGGCCGCACGCTGAATCATCACACACTCGATTTATCGCCATGGAAACACATTTAAGAATACTCCGGCCAATCAATGTACAGTCCACCGCTGACCTGGGCTTCCTGTATACGCCGAAAACTTTTCCACTGGCTGGCCTCTAACTTTAGCCAAACAAAAGCCTGCAAAACACGTACACCCTAATGTGCAACACGGACCATGCACGCCTCCTTTCACCCCCCTCGGTTACCCCCCCCCCCATCACCACTAGCCCACCCCCGGGGGCTGTTTCGAGCAAGTGCTGGGACAATCCGTGTGTGTTGTCACCGGCTCGGCTCGTGTTTCCCAGTTCAGTTTGACAGAGGCAGGCACCAGCGAGGCTACACCAGAGGCAGATACACCTCTCAGGACGTACAAGAAGTGAAGGCAGTTCAGGATGGGGAACTTCTGATGGTCCTGGTTTGGTTTCTTGAAATAATACCGGAGTCTTTATTGATGGATTAGCTTGTGGGAGAGCTTGGATTTGGATTGACATATTGGATTTTTTTTCATAAATTCTTGGACTGATTTTGAACTGGACTCATCATTGATCGTTCTTGTTGGCCCAGTGTGCTCTTGCTTTTGGATATCTTTGGATTGGATTGGACTTGGACTTTTGTCTGATCTATTGGATTTTGTCATACGTTGCAAAACTTATTCAAGACTAACTGGACATACATATATCGTTGGTTCGGCATACAGTACTGTCCTAGTCCGTGCCCGAGACAGTCCTCTTACTAGTGGCTCAAACAGGTGGGGGGGTTTGTGTCTCGTCCCCCACCATGAAGATCCAGGAGACGTCTTTACGGCGGGACCCTGACCTCAGGGGGGAGTTAGCCTTTCTCGCCCGGGGGTGTGACTTTGTGCTCCCATCCCGCTTCAAGAAAAGACTCAAGTCCTATCAACAGCAGCAAGAGGTTTGTGAATGAAGGACAGCAACAACAACAAAAACAAGAATATTCATATTCAAAATAAGTTTACTGATAATAATGATAAAATAATAAGAATGTGTCAGCTTCCTGTTCTACTGTATTTGCATTTGGAGGAATTTCCCCCATCGTTAAATGTGAAAGTCTTGTCCTTTTCCCCAGTTTTGCATTGCTTTCGGTCTTAATATCTCGTGATTCCAAAACTCATTTATTGCCGCAAAAGGTCCAACAACAACAAAATGCCACTACACCTTTCATTCTGTCATTTTTCAATCACTGTTTCTAACTATACCCAATAATAGTCAAAATGTTCTCCCGCTTTATCCATTACCGGGTCTCAGAGGTAGCAGAGATGTCCAACCGCACACACACACTTCCTCTGTAGAGCCTAAAATAGCCAATTAGATTTCACATGTTTTGAATTCTGGAAAGCCACCAATTTGATATATACAGTATTCGGCTATACCACTCATCTCTCAATGACTGAAAATTCCCATTTGAGTAGAACAAATAAATAATAAATAAAACATGTAATAGTATTAATTAGGCGTTTGTCTGATCCAATCAAAACAGTGGTTGCATTTTGTTGCCTGCTGGGACATGCCGGGGGCGACACACTATTCCCAGGCAGATACCACTGGGGTATATATAGTTCTAAGGTGTAGGAATAGAGTGATAGAATGAACGCTGAAGGGGAGAGGGAGGGGTTGCTACAGCTGTCCTTCTCAACACACACACACACACACACACGGACACACACACGGACACACACACATTGGCACCAGGAAGACGAAGCAAATTATATCCGGCTGGTTCCAAGTGTTGTTTTATTTGTATAGGGCCTTTTGCATTTCTGAATTGAGAATGGATTTAGGTGGTTGATTGGTTAAGTATCACACTGATTATTTTGTTTGACATAATCTTTTGCAGTTAAAGCCGGGGTACCTTAGTTTTTGTGTTATTAATAATACATTGTGTCTGTGCCTGCAGAAAAAGTCACAGAGATAAAATGTTGTGACCAAAAGTCGCGGCCTCTATCCTTTGCAAAGAGAGACGTCTGCAAGTCACTATTTGACACTTTAGGGCCGAGCGCTGATTGGCTGATTGAGGGTGGTCCACTATTTTTAATTTTTCTGTCTGAAAAAGGGTTAAAATGTGAGAGATGCTAAAATTGCATGCATTTGAAAACTAGTCACTGTACCAAACAGTTTTGAGAGTGAGGAACAATAGTTATAGTTATGGACTTTTATTTTTAAAAAATTATCAGTTAAAAATCCCAGCTTTAGAGTAAGTCTGGTGCTATGGCTGCTTGTGCTTGCTGAAACTTTCTCTTGCCCGTCTTGCGATGCCTGTAGAGCTGAAAATATCAAATTAAATTGTTTGTTCACGTTCATACAACATATTATCCCAGTAGTGTGCAAACATTAGTAAAGGTTAAGACACTTCTGTTAAATGCAGTATTATCTTTACTGTCTTCGCAGGTAATTGGCTCAGCTACAGCTCGTTTCATGTCTGGCATTGCTTTGCTTATTGTTGTGGCTGTATAAAGCTTCCACGCCCCCTGATGACTCTGTTTGTACTTTTTATTATGTCTCGATTGTAAGTTGACCTCGGGAGTCTTGAAATCAGCTATGCATAATTATGGTTGTTTTATCATAGGGTTATTCTTAATAGGAAATGAACCCCACTCAAATGAACCACGATGAGCTGTAATCTTGTAAGTTTTTAAATGCTGTAATATTCTCAGCAAGCGAGATTTTTGAATCTGGGCCTGGATTGCACTATAGATTTTTTCTCTTGTAAACTGGTGTTAAAGATGCCTCATACGATTTGAGTTGAGTTATTTGGCTGAACTCTTTGTTTTGGTTTTGATCTCCAGATTCAGTCCAAACCAGAGAAGAGACCAATCACCCCTCCGGCTTCACCAGACCCAGTGGAGGTCACGGTCGTCCCGGCAACGCGCACACCCAGCCCTCCCCCTGCTCCGGTCATCGTCACCCCGCCTCCTCCCGCCATCAACATTCCCAGGTACGACTAGATGATGAATCGTTCTTGAACCACAAAGTTTGCCTAAATATCGTCACAGATTAAATGTCTTGCCTAGTCTAAACGTGAACTTGAATTTCCTCTCATAGGATAAAAAAAAGTATTTATCTGTCTATAATCTAGTCAACCCACTACGATCAACGCTTTTGACCAAGGCTAATTTGTCTGTCCCGAGAAGAGCTTTAATTTATTTCATTTTTTTATGTATTTCAGGCAAACACAGAAGCATCACAGTTGCTATAATCATTAAAACATACCTGTTACTTTTTTTTTTAAAACATTCCTTATACAACAATTACAGCATACAACACATTCCCTTTACGATGACAAAGGCGCAATTTCTCTCATGTCATTGGCGGTCACTTCTTTTTGGTATTTTATTGCTTCAGTTCATGTTTAAAACCAGCCCAGTATAAGTTCAGTTTCAGTTGAAAATTTAGTTTCAAAGCTTCACCGTTTGGACAGAGAAAAGGCATTGTCCAAATAGTGTTCTCCTGAGTTTCATGTTTGCATTGGAGGTGCTTTTTGGGATGGAGCACACTCAGCAAAAACAGAGCCGCAATTGTGCAAAAATGAAAAAAAAACGTACAAAATGTTAAATTCGCCAAAAAAAGAATGTTTTGAGAATGTTATGGTCGTTATTTTGCATATATAAAAGGCTGGATAGATTACTTTAAGTGTTTTTTCTTTCTTTTTGTTGATTGTACAGCGTCATTTTCATGTATTGTTTTGTCCAGGACCTGGGTGTGTGTATGTGTATGTTCTGTTTTTGAGAAAAATAGAAAAATTTAAGGAAAAAACAACAATTCACAATAATTTATAATTCCTGGCTGGATTCATATTTTTATCTCTGCAACACCCGTCAATGGTGTGTTCTTTAGTAACCGTTTTGTTTAATGTATTCATAGACTTTTAAATGTTCCTATTCCCAGGTTCTACTTCCCCCGCGGGCTCACTGTGATCGGCTCCTCCCCTAATCATGACGCCGCAATCGCTACCATCGAGAGCGCCTTCACCGAGTTCGAGGACGAGAAGGCCGACATTTACGAGATGGGGAAGATCGCCAAGGTCAGCGGTGAACAAGTGTCAGGGAGGCGCGAGGACAGTAGCAGCGATATGTGATGTCCGGTAGCTGTCTGAAGGCAGGCGCAATGATGGGTCAGGGGGAGTCCTGGAAACTATAGCAGTGTGCGGTCAAAACATATGACGAGATGATTTGAAATGGCTTAAAGCTGTGGTACCTAACTTCAAACCACATCAATTAAATTATGTTAAAAAAATCCAGGTTTATCTAGATTTGCGTTCTATCACTATTTTTCACATGCACATTCAGGTTCTGATTCTGATTCTGATGCATGTGTAACCCAGGGTTAAATTTCAATCCATCCCTGGTTTTCCCCTTCTCTAGCAATTAGCCAGAGCATAGCACCTGTCCCAGAACACACACACACACACACACCTGATTTCATAATCAGTACAGTTTAAAAGCTGCTATCACTTCTCACACTCGAGGGTGTTTGTTTATCAGACAGAAAAGTGAAAAAAATCTGATCTCACCCTAAAGCGTAAAATGTCTTTCTTGCTAATTTCTTTTCAACAATTATGCAAAAGAGAATTTTTTTTTTGCTAAGATGAAATTGAAGACAGCATGTTATGGCCTGATTTATTCACAACATTGTAAGATTTTTTCAGTCGGGACAAACTGTACACACACGTAATTTATTTATTTGTTAACTTTGTTTATTTTTATTAACCTAGATCTTTTATCATTTTGTCAAGGAAAAACTAACATTTTTCAAAAACGTATTGAATTTATTTAAGCTAAAAATGACTATTAACTAGTATTCAAACAACTAAATTATCCTAAATTAGCAAATGCGTCTATTATTTTGACATTATGTTTGCTCTGTATAGACATATTTAATCTTGTAAATCTGGAAAAAGTTAAGTTAGTTGGTAAATACTGATAGATAATAAGTAATCTGTCATATGTTTCTCAATTTGACCAACTTGTTAGCTGCAGACAGGTCACTGATCTAGTGTAAAGGGAGAAAACATATTGTATATTTGTGTGACTCACCACATCTGGTGAAGGGTGCCCTGTACTCATTACACACATTGCCATCTTGTCTTTCATTGTGTGATAATAATCTTTGTTGCTGTGTTTTCACTCAGGCATGTGGCTGCCCTCTGTACTGGAAGGCCCCCATGTTCTACGCCGCAGGAGGAGAGAGAACCGGCTTTGTCTCTGTTCACTCCTTCATCGCAACATGGAGAAAGTATGAACTTGGAATGCTTAAATTATACAAGATTGTGAATGTTTATACAGTACATCAAGAAATGACAAGTTTTGTTTGTCAGTGAGCAAGAATCAATGCTATGGCTTTTATTTTACTTATACAAAAGGCTGGATATGCTTAAATTATTACTTTATGTGTTTTTCCCTTCTTTTTGTTGATTGTACAGCGTCATTTTCAAGGCTGGATACAACATTTGTTATGTTTACGTTTTATCATAGTTATTTTTAGTTTTTGAATGCTCAGTCACTTCATTATAGACCATGTAGTTTGAACTTGAATCTACAATGATCTTGTTCTGCAGGTTGCTGCACAGTTGCCATGACGACGCCTCCAGATTCATTTCTTTGCTGGCTAAACCTGGATGCAACTTTTTGGAGCAAGAAGACTTCATCCCACTACTTCAGGTAAATAAGAAGAGATCAGATCACAGCTTACTGATTCTCAAAGGATAACGGCACTTGATGATGATGATGATGATGATGATGATGGAGTAGGAGGAGATGTGAGTGTCATTTTTGCTTCATCTACTATTGTATTTAGATATTATTGCTTTGCTGCAATATTCCACTGTATTTTTTGCCAAGAATAATTTCAGGTTTAAGTATCTAGTGTAGTTGTGAATGAATAGACAAGGCATGTTTATTTGTATAGCACAATTCATACACAAGGCAACTCACAGTGCTGAACAAAACAAGATAGAAAAGACCACGCAAGGCATTCGAATCACAGAATAGACTTGCCTCTCTTTGGATCTGACATGTAATGGGACAGATGAACTCCACAATTGTACAAAAAAGTCAAAATGTAGAAGGGCCCTTGTCAGTCAGGAAAACTCTAAGATAACGTAGTGCAGTTGTTAATCTCTTCTTTCTTGACCTGATTTCAGGACATAGTGGACACGCATCCAGGGCTGACATTTCTGAAGGATGCGCCCGAGTTTCATTCCCGCTACATCACAACGGTAAAATGTGTTTCTTGTTATTTACAATACATTTAGTACACACATTATAAAAGCCTTAAGAATGTATAATAATTTGTAATGTGTTGAGAGACAAAAATATGTAAAAAATAAATACAGAATATTACAAAAGAAAACCACATACTTCTGGCCTGAACCATTTCATATTTGGCCCCTGATCAAAGTGAGTTTGACACCCCGGGTTTAGAGACTCAATCGACTCACTATAATACTGTAGTACTGTTGTACTGTATACTGTAGCACTGTGGTAACCCAGCAACCTCCCAAGCTGTGATAAGATAAGGCTTTGATAAGTTTATATGGCCAGAAAATGTCACTAATGATCCTTTTAGCTTGTTTGTTTATATTAAAACCCCATTGATTTTACTATTGGAAAAGGCGCTGGTTTCCTGACAGCCTTGAGCAGATCAGAGCTTTTGCTGCTTGGTCAGTGATGCAGGAGGCCTCTCTCTGTGCGTCAGACTGTAGTGACATCACGGAAAGACCAATGCCCCCTGCTGCCCCCTGCTGCTTGGACCTGAGCGCTGCTGAGACCCCCACATGCCCATATTAAGACAGGTCATTCAGTTTAGAGCGGCTGACCAGCGGCAGGACAGTGGAAGTATGTGACCCCAGTGCCCCATGGAATCTGCCTCTTACCCAACGGATAAACAACAAAGAGAATACTTTGATGGATGTGATGATTTCAAAGAGCAAGAGTTCCAGTTGAGCAAATATGTCAGACAATCAGGCTGTTTTTCAATAAGTCCTTTATAAATGATTTGGATATAGTATTACTTTCTTCTGACAGACAGCAAAAGGCCTACCCACGTTTTCATGAAGTTACAATGGTGAGTTTTGAACACCTGTGATAAAACAAAAGGGCAGAGGAAAAATCTGCATATAAATAACACCCCCATAATCTAAAACAAAAAGAAAAAGTTGCCTAAATAAATGTTTTTCTGTTATTCAATGGGACAATTATTATTTCTGTAATAGATTGCATTCTTGAGACATCACACCATTACAAATGGTATGGGAGCACAGCTGAAAAATCCAGCCTGGTAACTATGGTAACTGTCAAAAGTCAAACCTCTAGTCTTAGTTAAAACTTCTTTGTAATTCCTGTGCCCGTCCAGATGAGGCAAAAACGGTCCACATCTTTTTCAGTACATATAAAATGTCAATTATGGTCCAAAAGTTTTACTCATTTTCCTTTTCGTTAAAACTCCAACTGAAAAAGGTTGTGTTCATGTGGCAGCCTTCTATTGACTGATCGTTACAGACCATGTACATGCATATCTGTGTCTCTAGAATATTTGTTTTATTGTGCACCAATCGTCACTTCAAATATTTTGTCCCAACCGCCATAAGACTGCTGAACTGTAGCTTGTTGGTGATGTGGACTTTGGTGTTTGAGCCTTTATTGTTGCATTATCTTCATAATATGTTTGTTCATATTATATCGCTTATGTTACTGTCTGACATTGTGTTTTTATGTGTTTTTTATGATTTTATGCCATGTGCTGCTCAAACGAATTGCCCCTGGTGGGATACATATAGTAGTCTGAATCTGAGCTTTTGAAATAAAAATTCAATCAATCAATCAAATGACTGACTTCTCCTCTGCTTTTGCCCCCAGGTGATCCAGCGGATATACTACGTGGTGAACCGCTCGTGGTCTGGCCGCATCACCACGACGGAGCTACGCAGGAGTAACTTCCTCCAGACGCTGGCTCTGCTGGAGGAGGAGGACGACATCAACCAGATCACAGACTACTTCTCCTACGAACACTTCTACGTCATCTACTGCAAGTTCTGGGAGCTGGACACAGACCACGACCTGTACATCGACCTCAAGGATCTGTCCAGATACAACGACCATGGTCAGTCCTCATGCAAGCCGTGTTCGGTTTGTTCTGAATTATTTTATTTACTCAATTTACAGATTCATGCGCTAATATCACAGCGCGATTTAGCTTTTGGATGATTAGCTAACACAAGCGGAAAAATGTTCTGGATATTTTCAAAGTCACCTATTCAGGAACTTTTAAAAATTGTATTCTTTAGGCGCCAAAGGGAATTGCGGAATTGCTACACAAGCGCCTAAATCCCAGGACACTTTCTATACAGCGGCTTTGCTTCCCACAATCGTCCCCCTACATCTTTTTTTACATATTTTTCTATGTATTTCCTTCATTTATTAAAGTTGTCCACTATCACTGAGAAAGTTACAGGGTGTCACCTTTCGTCTATTTCACAATCCATTTCTCAGCAACAACAAAAAATGCTGGTGCCTAAAGTGTTAAAATAATAGAAATGGTAATACCAATAATGCCTTGCACTTGAAAAGCACTTTACAGCTGCTACACTTAAGTCACTAACCAACGCCATCAGGCCCTTTGACCAACACTATGGACTATTTCTCTCACTCACTACATACATACTGTTGCATGTTTTGGGTTGTGGGGGAAACCGGAGCACCTGGAGGAAACCCATCGAGACATGGGGAGAAACATGTGAACTGCAGACAACTTTCTTTCTGTGAGGCCTGCGTGCTACCCAATCTCTGTGTGAGAAATTTACTCATAGGGGCAATAAAAACAAATCTAATCTAATTTTCTTCTTCTGTTTTTACCGATAAAACATTACCCTCTACAATAAATAATAACAATGATGATAATGATTACACTAATATACAAATATTGTTCCCCACATATACAAATATGACCCACATATTTCCCACACACAATGAGTTTGAGAATGCAAGAACAGAAAATTGTCAATTAATATCAGGATTTATGGATGAGGATTGTCATTATATATCTTCCATTATATACTGTATATTAATAAGTATCATAAGTATAGATTTGATTAGAAACCGGTTGCAATAATCTAATATTGTCATACAAAATAATGTGTTTTTCTTATACAATTATATAAAGTCTTTATATACAACCTCTCACTGTATTTCTGCTCTTCTATCCTCACAGCTTCTTCTAACAGAATCATTGAGCGTCTGTTCTCGGGAGCTGTGACTCGGTGAGGGGAAGATGCTTCATTATTTACCGTTGTATTTGTTTTTTTTCTCTAATCGTCTGTGATTGTACGGTTGCCAGGGGTAACGCCGTGCAGAGAGAGGGACGCATGAGCTACGCCGAGTTCGTTTGGTTCCTCATTTCTGAAGAGGACAAGAAAATCCCCACCAGGTACGTTCATTGTAGACACTATTTGGATCTAAAATAATGTGATTTAAAGCTGGTGTATGTCGTTTTTTAACATCAAAAGAAAAGTTTTTGTTCTAATAGAAAAATCTTTTGCATACTTGTAAGAAAGAGCCCTGTGAGTCACTATTAGGCCAAAAATACATGCATGTGGAAAAAGCAAACTGTTTTGAGAGCAAGAAATTACTGGTAGTCACATATATCGTCCTTTTATGACAGAGGACGATATATGTGGTTTGAAAGTTTGGAACCCTCGCTTTTAGCAAGGTAAGCTTTTCTAAAAGTATGTAATAGATTATTTACATACTGAACAATCATGCAACAAGGGCAAGCATTGGTCCTTTGACAAAGTGAAGTCACAAGAATCATGACTTTTCAAAATACAGTATTCATTGTTCAATTAATTGTGGTCCTGTCTTTCTCTAAGCCCAGTCTTTTGCTTCTCTCTAGTATCGAGTACTGGTACAGATGCATGGACGTGGACGGGGACGGCGTCTTGTCCATGTTCGAGCTGGAGTATTTCTACGAGGAGCAGTGTGAGCGCATGGAGAGGATGGGAATCGAACCTCTGCCTTTCCAGGACCTACTGTGTCAGATGTTGGACCTCGTCAAACCAGAGAATCTCGGTTGGTGCTTCATGGGGTCTTTTGTCTGGGTTGACTTGGTGTTATTAGGGTCCAGTCTTTATCAATCAATCAACTTGTATTTGTAGAGCGGCTTTCCTACACAAGGCAACACAAAGCACCTCACAACCCATACCAGGCACACATCATAAACATAATAAAATACAATTAAAAACCCACAGGGCATTAAAAACAAACATTTACAGTAGATCACAAGAAATATTAAAAACATAACAATTAAATCACAGTAACTAAAAACATGAAATTATTCAAATCAGCAGGACACTTTTCCCACTCACAATTGTCAAGATGATATTATATAAAATGGTCTTTCCATATTCGCCATGTGTGCTGTATAAAGCAAATCGTTCTCAAACCTTTTCAAAGCCTTAATTATAAGCTAAGGACTACGTCTGAGTGAATGTGGGATGTCTCTGCCGTTAGACCATAATTAGTTTTTAAAGATCAATGTATCTATTCACGCTAGCCAACACATGTCCCATCTTTTTCACTAGATAAAAACTCATCGTTACACTGAGAGACGCAGGCGGATGGGTTGAAACGACTCGCCTTTCAATCTGCCTTTTGACCTAGTCTTTTTGTTGCTTGGAACACTCCAGCCAGATATACTAGTAATTTAAACTGGTTAAATTACTGGTATATCATTCAAACACAAATTGAATGTTTGTGTGTTTTTTTGTCTCTTTTGTTTTATATGGACCCTTTGTTTGTCTGAATTAAAGATTAAATAAAAAATAATAAATTAAACAGCAATTAAACCCAACTGTTTTATGGATCAACGCTTACTGTATATATGGGTTTGGTAGTACATAAAACTACAGGCGAGGGTCGAGTCACACGAGAGAAAATACTTTGTGTAAAGACAGCGCAACAAGCCGCGTAACACCATCACCATCATAGTTTGTGCTTATGTAAAAAACAAAATAACTTGTGGATGGTCAGCTTGTATACAGTGCGTTATGTAGCAGTTCCCTGGGGTCTTGTGTGCACTGCGCTGTGACTTTATAGAAGTGGGATGTTTATTTTTGACACGTTCCTGTATTCCCCGTGGAGAAAAGCTGATGCCAGTGCAAACAACTCGCCTTCCTTTCCCCCTGTTACCCCAAGTTGACACATAAGTTCAACTCATGTCAAAGAACTCAGGGCAATTAATGTTATTCCTTATCTTAACCCATACATTTCATCCTACGCTCGATTATAACCACTACTTTACAAAGCTGAAGATTCACTAATATTAATAAACGGTATTTTAGTATTTTAGTCATGTTGCTAAAGAGAGGCAGATCTCAATGAAGGCCATTCCTTGAGGCAGAAGACGTATCTTAGCCAATATACCATCACGGCACGAATAAAAATAGATCCACAAATCTTGAAATTACCGTTGGAATGCCCGTACTAAGTGCTACAATTTCACTATGTAACCGGTGCAAGGCCATTAAAATGACATAAAGTTTAAGTGGGGTGTCCTATATGTCTCACTCTCTCTGTGCTCGCAGGGAGGATTACGCTGAGTGATCTGAAGCGATGCAGAATGGCCCACATCTTCTTCGACACCTTCTTTAACCTGGAGAAGTATCTGGACCACGAGCAGAGGGATCCCTTCGCCATGCAAAAGGTAAAAATGTATTGTCAATTTGCAGCGAGTATTAATTGTAAAAAGTTAGTTACAGTATGTCTTCTTTACTTTCATGGTTTAGATTAAGGTTTTTTTACTCAAACCCTTTTGTTTTGTTAGAAGAACCTTAATCTAAGCCTTGCAGCAAGTTTGTACAGTATACATCTGTCCAGTTGAATTAGACTTTCAACAATGACTAGCAGTATGTTGCTTTTCTCATTTGTGTGGTTTAAAACATACATTCAACAACCTCATGTCTTTTCATGTAGGCCGTAAATTGTATATTTTGCATTAAAAAAAACCTCCATCCTCAAAAGGCTTCGTGTCATTATGTAAAATGACATAAAATAAATTGTCGTAAAATGACAATTACAGAAATACAGGTACCTCTGCTTTTTAAGTCTTAAAACAGAAGTGCCTATCTTTATGTAAAGTTAAAGTTTGTAGAGTTTGGTTTAATGTGAACAAATCACACCACAGCATCCTGTCTTCATCGAAAACATCTTTTCTGATTTGAATACTTTGTGAGAAAGAGCGCTGTGAGTCAATCGATTTTAGAGCAATTCAATTCAATTCAATGTATAGCTCTAAATCACAACAGAAGTTATCTCAGAGAACTTAACAAAACCGTTAATCACCAACACAGATCAGAGAATCAATCAATTCATTTGTGTGATAGTTATAGAACTGAACTATTCACATGGATTACATTATAGCTACAATTGTGTGGTTTGGGAATTTAAGTGCCTTAGCTTTGAGTCCATAGAGCATAGATAGAATACACAGTATGATTATAAGACTGAAGTTGATTGGGCTACAATTTCACAAAAATCCTTCATTCATGGCTGTTCAAAATAAGCTCTAATGCCATTTCTTCTGCTGCCTTTACGCTCTGGACGTGCTCCTGCCTGCACATGTACTTGTAAGTGCATCTGTCTCATCATGTATTTGTGGCTGGTGTGGTGTTGCAGGACATCGATAGCGAGGGTCCGGAACCGTCAGACTGGGACAAATATGCCTCAGAGGAATATGAGATTCTGGTCGCCGAGGAGACTGCAAACGAACAGCTGCATGAAGGGTACAGCTCTCACTCAATCACTAGTGGAGATAGGGATTGGAGCTAATGAAAAATAATATAATCCGTGGTATCTGACACTTGTTTATGGAGATTCCCTTTACTTAGCATATCACACATATACGATATGTCCTTAAAAAGAAACCTCAGCTCACATGATGGGATCAGGGCAATGGCTACCATGCCCAAAGAATAGTTAATTTACTATGTTCTCCCAGATTTAATTTTAATTAAGAAAAGTTGCATGTGAATAAATGCAATACTTCTGAACTTTACAAGCAGGTGCATGCAGGTAAACGGGTGCAAACCACCACCACAAGTGTTAAATTCTTCACCTTGTTACTTTAAATTGTATTGTTTTGTATTTGAAACACATTTTTTTTAATGCATTTATTTAGAATTTACTAACTTAACAGTGACAAAACCAAGTTAAACTAGTTAATATGTTTTAACTGTCCATCTGTCTTACAACTGTTTCAAATCGTCCTTGCTCTGGTTTAAGCCTTGTCTAACTTTCTAGATTTACTTGATTTCATCTACTTTTACACTTGCAGAAGTAATTGTGTAGCTTTATGTAATCCATATGTTGTCTGTATGTGTCTTGGCAGGTCATTCGATGATGACTATGACTTAGAAGAAATGCATGTCCTGGGGGATATTGGAAACAAAATGGAGAAACTTGTTATTTCTGATCTCACTGCTTAAAAAGCAATTCCGTGGAACCGCAAGGCCTTCCTGGAATGAGGTCAAATGAACTGGTGGCCAATGCATCACCCATTATGAAGACATGACTTTTGGTGCGAAGGAAAACAGAAGATCCTGGACTTTTTCTGACTGTACTTCCCAGCATCAGTTAACACAAATTTAAATACAGCATAAAGACAATGCCACCAAATAGCTATTTATTTTTGGAGTAAATGAAGATATTTAACTGCCTCGTATAGCTGACGATCTTGCCAAAGGACTATCAAGTACAAAGTGTTAGACAAAAATGTTATGACAACAAGTTGGACACTGCCCTTAAAACTATTTCAGATTTGCACTTTAGCAATTCTGTGAACACATAATAGTAATAGCTAGGTATACTGCGGCTCCCTCTTGTGGCGTGTCTTAGGGATTGCATGAAAATTTAGTTCAAAGAAGCACAGTGAAACAAGAGGGAGGACAGTTCAATGACCTGCAAAACTGCGGCTCTATTTTTGGCTTATAAATACTATCAGTTGCTCCACCTCTCCCTGCTTACATTTCTTGGCCAAAACTCTGTTTTGCAAAGAGTAAATGTACATTTCAAGTATTCAAGCTATAAAAAATAACACTCTCTGGTAGAGTTGCCAAAAGGTTTTCATTTTCTTAATGCATTGACTGGAAGTGTGATGATATTTGCTTGCTCTATTGCTTCAAAACCACAATACTGTCAAGTTAGTGTATTAGAATGACCTGTATATTGTTAATCTCTGTGCAATTCTCTTTATGCAATTGCTAAATTTGAGTTCATATCTTGGTCTGAATTGTGTTTTTACAACCTAAATAATGCTCAAAACTCACATGATGTAAAATATTTTTGGTAATTTGGTTTTGTGCCAAGTTTTGTTTAGAATTTGCCGCACTGTGTAGTGGGGATTGAAGTATTTGTTATTGGCCTCATTTAACCTAAACCATGTGTAGCACTAGTGTCAGTGCTATAGCTCTTTGCTGGTGCCCTTGGACACATGTGGGACAGGAGTGTGTTTGCTCATAATCACAGCTGAAGGAGGGTGCTTTTCCAGTCTGTTTATACTCTCCTGTCCCATCATCACCATGGTTCAATGTTCCTATCCCTGGTCTGTTTTTAGAAATTTTAATATAAGAATAATTATTAGGAATAGGACAGTGCCGAATATCTCCTATATTAGAGTAAACACAACTTCCTCTGCCCTGAACCACTGTACATGTGCCTGATTGTAATATATATATTGATAACGTTAACAATATGTGTTTCATATAAATATGACGGCGGTGATATTTTTATGTATTTGACCTGTATTGTTGTGCCACTGTGTGGCTGTTGACTGGGATGGGAGGGGTTAAATTATATTATGTGTGAATATGTGTGTGCACAGGAAATGGCTAAGCACACAAGCCTGAATCCTCTGGAGCACTGGGCTCCAGTGACAATCATTCATAAGACCAGCACTGCTCACAATGACCACACTGTGGCAGCAGAGAGTCCGCTGCTCATACACCTCTATGCAAAGATCTGGTGCCCAGCATCAGCAGGAGTGAAGCCATGAGAGAGATAGACTTTTACTATCCTCTACTCCCTCTGTGCAGAGGAGCTTATTAAGCGTAGGTTTTGAATGGATACTACTATGGCATGGTTTTCTTTGTTTTCAGTTTGTTCTTATACCTGTTGCTGCCATTTAAAGATTATGATCTAAATAAAGATTTATGATGTTCTGATGTGTTTGCTGTTGTCTAAATTAGTCACTTTGTAAGTTTGAAACATCAGTCCAACATGCCTGGTGCCTGACCAGCCAGATCCACATGATATATTAATCATTGTGTATCAGTTTGTGACGGGCCTGGCTGATCAGGCAAACATGCCTGAGCTGTGACCTGGTTTGATGACATAGACAAGCCGTGTTGGCGTCATAGTTGCCATGGTGACTTTGCACCACAACAGGAAGTGTCTGGTGCGTGTGGTGCTAATTGTCCCATTCATGGGATTCCTGTGAACAATGAAGTGATTCCACCCTTTAGCCATTCAGCTGGAAACGTTTACACATTTAGCCCATGGATCTTTAATATTAGCCATGTCCACTACTAAAGACAGTGCATCACTCATGTAAAATGACTAATATTCTAATGTTGTGTACATTGTGTATTTATTTGGAGTATGATTCAATATTTAGGTTAGTCTACTCCAATATACAGTATCTCCAAATTACCCTTTTCCCAGTGTCAAAAAACAAATAAACGTATGCATGCATTGCATGCAATTTATTGATACAAGTAAATTATATCTTTCTGTCAACCTTGCAACTTAAATTCCCAAAATGAAGCCAAACACAACCTCTTGTTATACACAAAAAGACTGTAATTGCCATTCTCCCTTTAACCACTTTATAAACTGTGTCTGAATGTATTGTTTTAGTTTTTTGTTTTTGCCCTCAAAGCGTCTATTGTTCGGACCCTCTGGTGTAATGGTTGGCACGAGCCTGTAGCCTCTCAATCAAAGGTCAGCTCTGCTCATTGTTTCAAATGGCAACTGCGTGTTCTCCACAAATGTCAGGAACAAAACAATTATCTTCACATTAAAGTCACACTCGCGTTCCTCCGTCTGCCCAGAACCCAATGATTTCACCTCCTGTCATGACGATATACCAGGGGCAGGCAGAGGGAAAGAAAGTGCCAGTTTGGAACCCGGGAGTAGAATTGGTCTGGTTCTGAGGTCCTCATTTTTTCCTGTTGTATATTTATTCTTTTAGAACATATCATTGTTTGCCTCCAAGTGTAAGGTGTAAGCCAAGGTTAGAATCAGTCTTAATCTAGTTCAAATTTAAATAAATCCAAAGTTCCTTTCAAGTTTCCTTCAATTATACAATGCAGCCATGGGCAGAGCTATGATGACTATTGTAAAGGCATTTGAGAAGGTTCATTGGAAGTAAAAACAAAGTTCCAGAAAGGGATGTAGGGGATATGGCTCATTGTATTGATTAGTCACCAGAAACACCAGAAACACGTAGCAAGCATGGGCTGAAAAGCATGAGAATTATTAACACATTTTAAAAATCAGGAACTGTATGTTGATATGGATTCAGGGCTAGAATAGACAGTAGGTAATATAGAAATGCATAAGACTTTACAGCAATGCCTTTTAATGCTGCAAAATTTAAGATAAGTTAATGTCAGCAAATACATTTAAAGTCTTGTGTACACTTCACTCACAGCATCTATCATCGCATACAAAATCTTGGATCATCAATCAGGTCAGTAAAATCACTCTTACACGACAGCCCCAATGCCAGAACTGTACATGTGTGCAGTGCTTAGGCAGACAATATAGAAATCCACAGGTCTGTAGGAACATCTAAGAAGTCAGTCATCCCCACTCAAAGTACCACTGTAACACCTGAATGTTAGTTGTTTTGATCAAGTGAGTGCAGAGACTGTCGCCCCTACAGTTACTACTGAGCGTAGGGCGACAGTAGCTCAGTTGGTAGAGCATTGGCCTTAAGCCCAGAAGGTCGTGGGTTCAATTCCCACCTCTGCACCTTCTCCACCGACTCCCACTGATGACTGCTGTCGTTGTGTCCTTGGGCAAGACACTTAACCCCACTTTGCCCAAAAGCTCCCACTGAAAGATCAAGGCTGTGCTCACACTCAGAGAGCAGCCGTCCTCCTGTGGACTCACCACCTGCAGAGGGTCAGTGAGGGGCTGGTGCTATGAGACTTGGGTGGCATCTCTGACTGCCACCCCCCTGACCCAGAAATGGATTAAAGGGTAGAAGATGGATGGATGGATGGATGGAGTGCAGAGACAAATTTCAGATTTATCTTGGAACAAACCAAATCAAAATTAAATCGATTTTATTTGTATCACCCAAAATCACAACAACAGTCGCCTCGTGGGGCGTCATAGAACCGCCAACTACCAATGTCTGGGGACCAGTCCTCAGGTCCGGGAGTCCAGGGTTTTGAGTCCCACCAGTGCGTTCATGGAACAGACAGAGAGACAACGGGTGAGCAACAATGCACACACTACATTAAAAACAGTGCAATCAAAGCATTTGTGTATGTACAGGGTATAAATATATTATGCAGTAAACCAGCTTAACAGAAAAAATAAAACGAAAATACAAATCTAGCCCTCGGGCGAGCAGGATAAAACGCCCAAGGTGTTACTATTTATTTGGTTTATAAATAAAATAGTAAAATCTTGTTCTGTTCCTTTCTAACCTATGCTCCCGTTAATGTAACTAATGTTTGTAAGGTCACAACCACATTAAACATTGTTTATATATTAACCACAAATGCAAGGCATCTAATCAAGCCCACACACCAGACTCCAGGCAATGTGTGTTTAGCCTAAGGACACAATTTCAGTTTAGCACTTTAGAGCTGCAGTCTCTATGTGCTTATGGGGATGGGAGACCACCTGGTGTTCCCATTAGTACTAACCAGGGCCTGGCCTGCTTAGCTTCTGAGATCCTTCAGGATCAGGCAGTTACATGCAGGTGGTGCCACAACAACATGTATTATGCAAATGTTTGATCTTTATGGATGTAATGAAAAAGGCCTACAATATTATTCTTATTCCCGGAAGTTTAATCTACAAAATGTTTGGGTTAAGATGTTTGGGTCACAATTCAACGATTGATGAACATTTGTAAATACTTCTCTGTCACCACACTGCTCTGTAGCCCCAATTAGGTATGAAAACGTTATGTTTGTATAAGGGCCAACAAATATTAGGAGGGAAACAGTTCCGATCTTTAGTCCCCTCTCCACCTGCAGAGTAAATGTTGTTGTTCACTCCTGTGGTTGTTTGTATAGCTTACTGTGGCCGTCCTATCATTCACACAAACCCTGCTGACCTCGTCTCATCATGTGAATACACTACGCCTCTCTTTGATCAGCTGTCAAAATAACTCATGTTTAATATCCCCAGTAAAAATATACCCGCGCTTTAGGAAAAAAAGATGATGCCTTTGATGGACAACCCA